ACAGCCTCGAATGCCCTCACTTGACCAGTAAGGAAACAGAGGCCCAGAGAGGTACGGGGACCAGCTGGGGACACACAGTGAGACGGCGCAGGGCTGGGGCTAGAACCGTGCCTCTCCCTTCCTCCCTACCACAGCAGGAGCCGGCTCTGGGGCACACGGTATGACGTCCCTGAACCCCTTTCCTTCTCATATTTTTTACAAACGAGGAAACTGATGCTCAGAGGCAGTAAGTCACCTGCCTGAGGTCACTCAGCCATTCACATCAGAGCCGGGGGCCAGGTAGGTGTGACTCCGTGCTCACACCTCTCCCTGGTCCATGATGTAGCCCCTGGAACAACCACCCAGCACTCTGACACTGGGATTCTCCAAATCTGTCCCCAGACTGGTTAAAAGCAGCAAAAAGGTCCTCAGCCTCTACCTGAGCACCTCCCCATCCCAGCACACCCCAGGAGCCTCCAGGGTACTGGGAACAGCTAAGCCAGATGCTCTGGCCCCAGAGGACAGAGCGCCTTGCCTTCCAGAGCTGCGGCTACTCCTGCTGCCTGGCTGATGGAGAGATTATTTCCAAGCCCTTCCCACTCCACCCCCACCACCGCTGCTGTCTCTTGCAGGACCACACTGGCTGTCCCTGTGGGACTCCGAGTGCAAAGCCCGTGGCTAAGGCAGGACAGCCGGCCCAGCTCCCTCCTACCATGAACCCCTCAGACCCTCACCTCTCACAGGGGAAAGGGCTTCTGGGTCATTTTAAAAGCCCCACCCCACTCCCCCAGGGCTGCTGTGCAGCTGCTGGAGAGAGAGATGCAGAATGAATGGACTTCTGGTTTCTGGAGGAGGAGAAACAGAAGAAAGGTCGCAAAGTAACTCTGCCAGAACCTGCTGTGTTTGGGATTTTTCTTTTCTTCCCCTTCATCTCTACCACAAACCTGTCTCTTTCCTGGGCATCGAGACATGGGCTCCCCTTGCCGGGCACAGACACAGCTGGAGACGGGCTCCCTGAGACAGAAGGGTGAGTTAAACTTGGGGGCAGGAGTTTGTGCTTGCTGCAGGGGTGGGCGTGTGCTGTTACACAGCCTTGGCCAAAACGCTTTTTGAGTGACTACCTTTCCCAGGCTCTGGAAGGAGTTTTGTGTGCCGGCTATGCTGTCTTGGGGGCAGTGCATTGCAGAGTTGGGTTCGTGCAGGGAAAGCAGAAAGGGCAGTTTGGTGGTCGGGGAGGTTCTAAGAAGAGCCCCAGCTGGGAGACAGAGTCCTGGGTAGGGTCTGGATTCACTGTGTGACCTTGGACAAGTCATTTCAGCTCTCTGGGTCTGGGTTTTTGCAGTTGGAAAATGCGAAAGCTTGGGAAGGACTCCCAGGATTTCAAAGCACTTTTCTCTCTGCAGGCTGCCTGTCTTCCTCTGGCCGTACATTGTAAATGAAGTAATGCATGCGTGCAGAATAACAGAGTGCGCGGTGAGCAAGAGTGAAATGCATAGGCTGTGATTCAACTCTTCACTGCCTGCTGGAATCCAACCGGCTCTGAAATTGAGAGGAATTTTTATTTCCATTCAGCTGCCGATTTTTTCTCTTGATTGGTGTGCATCTTGGAATGTAAGGTTATAGATGCTTTGGAATCAGCTCTGGTTGGAATGAATAACGTAGGAAATGACTGCAGGATGCTGAGGATGAGAAATACTGAGGTGATTTTTGAAATGTGTGGGCTGAATCTGAAACTCTGTTCTAAGTCAAGTGCCCCAATAGGTCTGAAATGAAGAAGGCATTAGAGGCCCCTTCATTTGGCAGATCACAAGAACCAAAGCCCAGAGAAGGGGAGTAACTGGCTCAAGGTCACACAGCAAGGGTTGCTGAGGCAAGCACCCAGTGAACAGGGAGGACCATTGTCAAGAGAGCAAAGTCCTCCAAATGAGGGTTGAGGTGATGGTGTGGAGCTTCTGAGAGTCACTAGACGCTGTGCTAAGCACAATCACATTCCTTGTTACTTAACCTTTCTGTGCCCCAATTTTCTCATCTGTAAAATGGAGATATAATATGCTGCCTCGTGGGGTTCTTCAGATGAGTTAACATAGGGGAAGCATATAGCTCGGTGCCCAGCACTTCACATATGTTAGACTGCATGTACGCGCTCACAGTGCCCAGTGAGGTGGGCACTCATACCACCTCAGGTGTAGACAAAGTGAAAGGCTCCGGACAGCCAGCCTGTTAGGGATCATATCCCGGTGGTGAACTTGAGACCGTCTTACACTCTTACACAGCTTTTACCAAACGAACCTTGCAAAGCTGGCACAAGTCTTGTTACAGGGAAGAATGGTGCTGAGATCAGAGAGGTTAAGCCATATGCCGAAGACCACACAGCCCAGAAGTGGGGTGGCCCTGACTTGTTCAGCCAGGATGGAGCTCCCCCAAGTCCCAGACCACATACACCCGTTCCAGGTGTTATGGAAGAGCCTTCTGAGATGTGAGTAGGTGCTCCACCAGAGAAGGGATGTCATCATCTCCTTTTGTTCCCTCATAGGCCCCAAGGGCATAGCAGGTGCCCAGTGAGCCTGTGTTGGATGGAAAATGCAAAGAATGAAGGCGCAGATGAGGTCGTGGGAAAGCAAACGTGAGGACGCAGCCCTGTTGTCGAGGACTCTGCCCCGACTCTGATTTCTCCCGTGTCCTTGCCTGTTTCCTTCTGGGTGCCAGGAAGTCTTCGGCAATGCCTGTGTCTTTCAGAAGCAGGGGCCTGCTCCCCGGACACCATCACCCTGGCTCCTACAGCCCCTTGGGTCAGTTCTCGCCCGGCCCCGTGGGGCCCCCGTGCATCAAGGGCCTTTACTACCGCAGGGCGCGGAAGGTGGGCGCCCGGGCCGCCTCCCCGGCGGCGGACCTGACGAAGGAGATCCTGGTCAACGTCGGGGGCCGGAGGTTCCTGCTGCCCTGGAGCACGCTGGACGAGTTCCCGCGGAGCCGCCTGAGCAAGCTCAAGTCCTGCCGCAGCCCCGAGGAGATCGCGCAGCTCTGCGACGACTACGACGAGGACAGCCAGGAGTTCTTTTTCGACAGGAGCCCCGGCGCCTTCGGCATGATCGTGAGCTTCCTGGCGGCCGGCAGGCTGGCGCTGCTGCGGGACATGTGCGCGCTGGCCTTCCGGGAGGAGCTGGCCTACTGGGGCATCGAGGAGGCCCGCCTGGAGCGCTGCTGCCTCCGGGAGCTGCTCCGCAGGCTGGAGGAGCTGGCCGAGCTGCGCAGGGAGGGGGCGCTGCATGGGCAGCCGGGGGCCTGCCGCCCGGCCGCCGCCCCCTCGCGCTGGGGGCTGGTCCTGCACTGGCTGCGGGAGACGGTGGAGAACCCGCATTCGGGGCTCCCCGGCAAGGTCTTCGCCTGCCTGTCCATCCTGTTCGTGGCCACCACGGCTGTCAGCCTGTGTGTCAGCACCATGCCCGACCTGCGGGCCGAGGAGGACAAGGTGAGTGGCCTCTGACCCGGCCCGTGTCTCTGCAGGGCCCCTGAAAACACTTAAATTTCCTTTAAAACCAGAAAAACCACGAAAATTACTTATCAAGGATGGTGTTCATTTGTAAACCAATGCAGACATAAAAGATCATGTTTAATTTTGTGTTTTGGAGGAAGAGGCCCGTGAGGGCAGAAGGACCTAGGGCCTGCAAGTTGGGGAACCTCAGATACTGATACAGTCGCCCCTGGTCTCAGTGGGCCCGGCAGGCTCAGACTTGCCTCTCCTGCTCTGTGACCACAGGCAAACTGCTCCCCCCCTCTGAGCCTCTGTCCTCCTCTGTAAAACAGGTAACCTTGCCGTGAATGTTCTCAGAGAGCAGGGCCTGCCCTCATGGTTGCTTGCCTGCAGACTCACCCGCGCCGTGCATTGATCAGTGCACTCCTCAGGCCTTACTGAGCAGCGACCCTGGGCCACGAGCTATGGCAGGCCCCAGACCCCTGCCCTTGCAAGCCAACATCCTCGCGGGCATCCCGCCTCCGTCTTAGATCAGGACACTGAGGCACAGGACGGTTAGCTTCCTTGTGGTTACAGAGCAAAGATGCAGATGATCCAAAGATTCTCAGACCCCACCCCCCAGATCTCCTGTTTGTTCCTTCACTCCTGAAACCTAAGTGACTCTGTCCTAGAACGCCAGAGCAAAAAGATGCCGTGCCCACTCCGGCACTCTCTTTCCAGGGGGCCAGGTGGTCTGAGAAATGGGTAAGAAACAAACGTTTTGTTGGGAAGTCTATCAGAGAGCTTCAACCTGAGAACTGGAGTGTTTTCCAATTTAAAACACTGTTTTTGTCCTGCTCCATATTCCTCTATGGTTCCCCATTGCCCTAACCTATGAAGCCTATATCAGAGTAGACAGAAGGGGCTGATAAATGAAACACATACATAAGATAGTGTGCCTTGTATACGGACCATAACCGTTGTCAGTTGATGTAAGTTCTCTTCCCTTAAGGATATATCCCAGGGCAATATGGTAGGATCAGAGAACTTTCCAGATAGAAAGGGCTTCTTCCGTGGAGAACCAGCCCAGGCCTCCCCAGAGTAGGTTCTCAAGGAATATTTGTTGAATAAAATGTACCTTGTTCAATTTATATATGTTTTGTCCTATAGCAAACTGAGTAAAATATTTCCACTTTCAGCTTTTTTCCCCCATAGAGAGGCATTTTTTTATTCTTCAGCACAAAACCTTGTGATTTTAAGAGCTTGATTATTCAGTTTAATTTACACGTGGACACTGCAGTAAAAAAGGTTAGGACAAAATAAGTGGCCTCTGTCCCAGGCCCCCAAGGGTGCCCTTGATCCCAGTTGCTGAGGAAGGACCCCTGAATTTTCATAAGCCCGTTCCTCTTAGGGGTTTCCAGGGAGCCAGGATTTAGATTATGCAGAGGGACAAAGCCTAATGCTTTGGAAATTACCCAGGACAAGAGCCCAGGCTTGGTTTAATAGGGAATCAGGAAATCAAATCAGAGGTGGGCACGAGGCCCCTGACCCAGGCAGCCCCGAGTCTGAGTGCAGGACGGGTGGCCATTCCTACCCCTGGGTTAAGAGGCGCTGATGCCATGGCCAGTCGAAATCTCTGCTTTGACCTTGTGAGTCCACCTTTGAGCATCTATTTCCGTCCAGAGAGTGATTCAGAGAGCCGGGAGGCTGAGGACAGGGCAGTCTTTGTTCCTTCAAGACTGTGTCCTCACATTTACATAAAAAGATGATGTTCTTTCCACCGACACGTGCCTGGTATTCCGTGTTCGCCCTGGGGATGTCAGTCTGAAAGCAGCCGATTCAGGATTCAGGATTCAGCACACAGGCTGTGAACACTGGCCCGCTGCTTCTGAGGGCAGGCTGAGCCGTAAGGCCTGGAGCCTGAGTCCTCCGAGGGGCCTGGTGCATGGCTGGTGGCTCCCCAAATTAATGTCACATGAGGGGACAAACACCCCAGGTCCAGGACCCATAGAACTCCTCCAGATAGGGGAGGGGCATGACGGTATAACTCTGGGTTGGAGAATTGCAGCACACGCAAAGAAGTGGTTTGCGCTCTGTCCTTCTTCTAATGTCCTGCAGCAATATCCCTTGGAGTAACTTGGTAATAAAGGTAAACTGAGGTAAAAGGTCTGCACCAGGAGATTGCAGGTTAAAATGGAGCAGGGAGGAGGCAGTATAGACAGAAAGGACTGAGTCAAGTGCCTCAGCACCAATAAGAAGCATTCGGACTTGCTGGAAACCTTAGAGGAGCACATCCCCAGAGAGATGAAGGCACAGATGATTATTAAGCACCCCTCACGACAGAATGGACTTAATCCTTGCGCAGCTTTGGGAAGCAGATACTACTGCAAACCCATTTTACAGATGAAGAAATTGAGGCACAAGGGAATTTTATCACTTTCATGAGCTCACAGCGAGTGCCAGAGCCAGGATTTGAACTCACTTCCACTGGACTCTAAAACCTGATGCCTTATGACCACATGACAGCATATTCCCATGCTGGGCCATCTGCCTCTAGTCTGGACCCTTGGCCTGGTGGCCCTTGGGGCTTCTGCGGCAGCTGGACTTCATGAGTGTTTCTCTGTCCAGCATGATCACTCCGAGTGCAGACGCCCTGGGCTTGAACCTTGGCCTCACCCCTCGCACACTCAGTCATTCTTGGCAGAGTCCTGTTGCGTCTTTGAGCCTCCGTTTCCTCATCTGTAAAATGGGGATGCCGTCAGCCCTTCCCTGAAGGGGTTATGGTAAGGACTACGAGAGTCACTCATGCGAAGCAGTTGGAGCAATGCGGGCACATTCGAAGTCATGATCAGCAGCAGCCGCTTATTAGGTACTAGTTTACAGCAAGTCACATCATTAGCCTTCCCGTCACCCCTACAAAATAGGCATGCAATTTTTCTAGGTACTGGAGACAAGACAAATTTCTTACCTTCTTGGAGCTTTTATTCAGAGCATATCTGCTCCACTTTCTGAGCTGAAATTCACACAACAGAATTAACAGTCTTAAAGTGAACGATTCAGTGACATATTAGCGCATCCATAATGCCACGCAGCAACTACCTCTATCAGGTTCCGAAACACCCACAACCCCAAAATAAAACCCCGTACCAGTTAGGCAGTCCCTCCCCACCCCTCTCCCCCAGCCCCTGGCAGCCACCGTCTGCTTTCTGTCTCCATGGATTTCCCTATTCCAGACAGTTCATATAAATGGAATCAAGCAATATGTGGTCTTCAGTGACTGCCTTCTTTCACCCCTTGTGACATTTCCAAGGTCTATCCCCGTTGTAGCGTGTCAGCACTTTATTCCTTTTTATGGCTGAATAATATTCCACTGTCTATATGTGCCACAATTTGTTTATCCATTCATCCAGTGATGAATGGTGTTATTTCCTAGTGCTTTGCTTCCCTCTGCCCGAGTCCTCCGCCATGGTTGTCCACCCTGTGATTCGTCCCTGGTGTCCTTTCCACATGGACTTGGCCGCAGGTGGGCAGCTCTGCTGATCAGAGCACCTTCCCTCCCTCTGGGGGAGGCTGAAGGTCACTGCCAGATGCAGGTGAACACTTGCTTCTCCTCTTCTGACCTCTTTCTTCCTCTTTACTGCTACCAAGATGTCTGCAGACAGTATCACTTCATGGAAAGAAGCCAGAATCTCTAGTTGGCTGCTTGTGGGTTTGAATCCCAGCTCTGCCACTCCCTGGTCCGGCCCTTGGACAGGTCACTCTATTTTTCTGTGCCTCTATTTTGTCATCTACAAAGGTAGATAGAATAGCACCTACTCAGAGGGTGGCGCTGAGGCTGAATGATCCTAGTTACATGTGCCGGCACAGAGTGAACCCTCGCCGTGTTCTCACTCACCCTCTCGGACTCGGCCCGCACTCCTGCCACCTGCTCCTCTGCTTTGCTCATCAGCCTCTCTCCCAGCTCATGGGAACCAATGGCAGCGGCCAAGTCAGAGGCCACTTGGCTCAAATAGAATGTCTTCTTGTCCTTTCTGGTGCCCAGCATCATCCTTCATTCACTTGTGTCCTCATCAGACCTTTCCAGAAGGCCTGCTCTGGGCTGGAGCCCCAGTGGTGACCAGTACAGGCACAAACCAGCTCTCTACCGCTTGCTCGGCCTTTGTTGTGCGTTCGGGGGCGTTGCAGAGGGACACGCCGGATTGCAGCCGTGCAAAGCCCTCCCTCCTGTCCCGGGCTGTGGCTTCAGCATCTCACTAAGGTGCAGGGCTGGAAGGAAGGCACAGGGAGGTTTTGAAAAGATCAGGTGGAACTACTGGGGACACCTCCCAGGAACAATGCCCCCCTTGAGAGGGTGCGGCTCACCTTTTGGGCTGCAATTTCCATCTCCCAGCCTTTAATAAAAAGCCTGGGGCTGGAGCCAGCTTCCCCTCCTCCCGCGTCCCTTTCTTGAATCGTGAATCAGCTCTGCTGTCTCCTCTCTGTAGGTGCTCCATCTTCAGTGACCTTTGGTAATTGCTCTGGGAATTCTTCTTAACCTGGTGTTTCTGTTTTGGGGGATTTTTGCCCCTCAGCTGAGCCTCCCATGTGCCAGCCAACAAGAAGTATTCCCTGTTTCCTGCAGGGGATTCACCTTGCCTGACTCAGTGTAGTTCCCACCCCCTGTCCCCATGCCCGACCCCTAGCCCTCATCCCCTTAGCTGTACACACTTCCAGAGTCAGGGCTGGCTGGAGGAGGGGGCGGAGGGGCTCAAGGGGTATCGGGAGTCGGGAGAGGATCCTGAAAGGGGCACAGTGGCTGGAAAGACGGCCGAGAGGGAAGCGGCTCCCAGGGAAGGGAGAAGCTGGGGAGCAATGAATCAGCACACAGGCCCAAGAGAGGAGAGAGTCAGGACCGGGACCAGGGCCAGAGGCGCAAGCAGGGAAATGAATAGGAAGGAGGGAGGGAGACCAGAGCTGCCCAGGAGACAGGTGGGACCTGCACGGACCCAAGAGGAGGTGGGAAGTGGCCGAGTCTGGCCATATTCCCAAGGGCGAGCTGGCAGGTGCCGCTGCAGGAAGGAGTGGAGAGAGCTCCAAGGTGAAGACCGTGGCCCCGAGTCCCTCCCCAGTGGGCTCAGCTGCACCTGTAGCCAGCAGCCTGGGCAGACAGGCCCCAGGGACAGTGGCTTTGTCCTTGGAAGCCCTGCCCACCCTCTGATCTGACCTCAGGGCTGTGGGAGAGGAGCAGGGCGCGGCGGTGGGGCTCACTCCCTGCCTCACCCGGATGCACTCAGCCAACTTTGATTCAGACTCCAATTTCTTTTTGATTAAGACAGAACCCACATACCATAATTTTCCCCCTGGTTTCTTTTTTATGAAGCTAGAACTTACATACCATACATGATATTCTCCTTTGTAAGGTTCACAGTGCAGTGGTTTTTCATACACAGTTGTGCAACCATTCTCACTACTTCCAGAACATTACATGATCCCTAAAGAAGCCACACACCTGCTACCAGCTCTCAAATCCCCCAATCCCACCAACCACAGGCAACCACGGATGTCATTTCTGAATCCGTGAATTTGCCTTTTCTGGACATTTCACGTAAATGGTACCAGACAATATGTGGTCTCTGTGTCTGGCTGCTTTCATAAGGTTTTCAAGGTTCATCTACGTCGTAGTGCGTCTCAGGGCTTCATTCCTTCTATGGCTGAGTAATATTCCATTGTTGGATGGAGTCATTATCCAGTCACTATTGGTAGGACTTGGGTCATTTCCACTTTGGGGCTACTGTGAACAGTGCCGCTATGAGCATGTGCATAGTGTTTGGGTAGAGGGATATTTTCAGTTCCTTCTGGAATATGTCTGGGAGCAGAATTGCTGGGTCACACAGCAAATGTATGTTTAACTTTCTGAGGGACCACCGCCCTGTTTTCCAAAGCAGCTGCACCATTTTACATGCCCACCCCCTGGTGGAGTGGTAGCTCATTGCGGTTTTGATTTCTGACTCTGATCTTTTTTTTAACCTGTTCGCGATGGGAAATTTCAGGCATTTACAAAGTAAACAGGACAATAATATAATGAACCTCCAAGGGCCCAGGACTGAGCTTCCACCACATCCTGTCATTCTCATTCTCTCTCCCCACCCCTTCTACCCACGATAGCTTATTATCATTATTCATTTTGTTTTTACGTTACTGTTTTATAGGTAGGATTTAAATACATTGAATGCACAAATCTCAAGCTGTATGGTATGACCCACACTTCTGCTTACTGTGGAATATTCCCGCCCCCAGAAGGCTGTCTCATGCCTCTCATAGCCAGTCCCTACCCCACCCAGAGACAGCTGCTATTTTGGGGATTCTGTCCACCACAGGTGAGGCTTGCCTGTTCTTGGACTTCACATACTAGACACGTACAGCATTGGCTTTTGCATCTGGCTTGGTTTGCCCCACGTCCTGTCTGTGAGATTGGTCCACGCTGACGGACCATCGCTCACGCTCCGGGCTTCTGAGGCCTGAATAAGAGCAGATCTCATTCCACCTGTGACAAGGCCCATGGAAGGGGTGACCGGCCATTCCAGGCTGCCCAGGTCTGAGGGAGTTCTGGTGACCTGGGACTTTCCGTGCTCGCATTCGGAAGGTTCTGGGCAAGCCAGGACAAGGTGTTCGCCATACCCATGCAATACAACCAGAGACATCGTCAGAGGGAGGAAAAGTAACTTTTTCTTTCCTTCTTTCCTGTTTTTCTTCAGGTATTAGCTGGCCTGGGAATTTCCTCAGCTCGAGCCCCGTAAATCCCCACCGCTCCTGGGCTGGCCTCTAATGGGGCCTTTCTCTGAGGACCAGTTCTGGAAGGTCGGTTAAGGATGCAGAGCAGAGCTGCAGTGCAGGGAGGTGGCCGGCAGGCCAGGCCAGGAGGGAAGTGGGTGGCTCGTGCCTTGAATAGCCAAGCACCAGCACCGGAGGCAGAGGGAGGGCCCACCGAGCCTTCTCTGCCTCTCAGGGGTCACCCTCTTGAGCGAGTGGGTCAAGGAAAGGCTACCCCTGGGCTACAAGAGTGCCTTAAGCCAAGGGGGAGACACTCAGGATGTCAACGATGAAAGAGGCCTTGAAGAGAACACTCACTCTAGGCCCAGGGTGAAAAACTTTCAGGTGCCTCGGGGCCAACTGGGGGGCTTGCCAAGATGCAAATTCCAGGAACCAACCCGCCCTCCCAGGTTTTGATTTTGTGATGAGAGCCCAAGAATCTGCATTTGTAGCAAGCATTCCAGGGGATTCTGATGCAGGAGGTTCTGAATCAGCTTTGAGAAATACTGATTCTGTTCCCACCTATTCATTGGAAACTGGAGCAGAGAGGGGCCGTGAGCACTGCAAGGTCACACAGCAGTTTCATAGCAGGACTGGGGAATCAGGATCCCAAACTCCCGAGTCCTCCAAGATCCTGATGCAAACCCCAGGCAGTCATGGCAAAGACTTCTTGGTGTGCTGGAAAATTTCCTCAGCTTCCTATAAAATCCAGTGATAGGAGAAGGGTATGCCTACCCTTATACTGACCAGGCAGGTTGTGTCTGTGACCAGTGAAGCATCTCATAAAGGTAGCTGCCATGTATCTTGTGCCTGCAGGCTCAGCAGGCTGCTAACTTTTCCATGGGTCATTTCACCACCTCCCACCACTTTGGTAGATCAGAGAAAAGTCAAGGGAGAAAGCTGCCTCGCTCTGGACAGGCAAATAGGGATCAGACAGTCCAACAAGTTTCCCTGCCTCCAACAGCCAGACATAACAAACATTTTAATTCAGTAATTCCTGTGGGCCCAGGCACTGGAAATAATTTCCTTTTCCACTTCAGAGCTTTTTAATCCAAAGAAAACTGCTGTTGTCAACATTTTGCTTTTTCATTCAAGCAGCTGTCTTTGGTCATTCATTCACTCATCCATCATAGATACATATATATATGTAACAGTTAGAATTAGGTTCTCAACTCTGGCTCCACATTAAACTCATCTTTCAGGCTTCTGGAAAGTTCTCCTTCTCAGGTACAAATCTAGATCAATTAAATTAGAATCTCTGGGGTCCTGGCCTGGGCATCAGCCTATTTCAAAGCCCCAGACCAGAGCCTGTCAAGCCTTAATGTGCATGCAGATGATTCGAGGGTCTTGTTAAAATGCAGTTTCTGATTTCAGGGGGATGGGGTGAGGCTCAAGAGTGTGTTTCTCACAGCTCCCTGGGGAGTCTGATGCCTTTGGTTCAAGGACTGAACTCTGAGGACAACACATTTTTGTTGTATGAATGAGTGAAGTATGACAGGCAAAGACATTACACAACGGCACATAGTGGCTGAGAGACCACCTACTATGTGTGTGAGCTCAGGCAATTGCCTCACTGCTTGGAATCATTTCTTGGGCCACAATGAAGTCACACTGCCTGCGCATGGCATCACTTTGTGGCATAAGCAACAGCCCTAGAGCAGTGCATGGAGCACAAAAAGGGCTTCTATCAGTAAAGGTGAAGGTTGGCTGCTATGACAAAGAGGCCCTAAACCAGAACGGCTTTAAACACATTAGAAGTTGATACCTCTCAAACAGAAGGATTGAGGTAAATGCACTGCTCTCATTCTGAGACCCAGATTTTTCCCACCTTGATGCTCCATCCTACCCGGGGTTATTGGTCCAGTCTTCAGGTTCTAAGCTGGGGTGCAGGCCCATAAGGGTTGTTGTGGGTCATAGGGAGAAAGAGTGTCGCATGGAACTGGATGGAACTGCATCACATCTGCTTACATTCTGCAGGTGGGAACTTAGTTATCTGGCCACACCTACCTGCAAGGGAGGCTGGAAAGAGTGGTCTCTGATCTAGATGACCAGCCATGTGCCCAGCCACGACTTGAGAGGTATGCAAAAAGGGGCATTTGGTGGACAACTGAGAGTCCACAGCATAGAGCCCCATCAAGATGTATAAGGTAGATGGATAGATAGGCTGTAGAGAGACTATATTACATATAGACTGTATACAGAATATATTTAATATACAGAATCTATATATGGGATCTGTGTATATATGAGTTCCATCTATATCTATGTCCCCATCAGTATCGATGCAGATACAGATGGAATCGCCTTCTGCGTGGTCCCTTGCGCATTTCCAGCACGTTGCCTGTCCGCTCTCTAGCCTGTATTTCGTTGTCTCCCTAGGGCGAGTGCTCTCGAAAGTGCTACTACATTTTCATCGTGGAGACCGTCTGCGTGGCCTGGTTTTCCCTGGAGTTCTGCCTGCGGTTTGTGCAGGCCCAGAACAAGTGCCAGTTCTTCCAAGGGCCCCTGAACATCATCGACATCCTGGCCATCTCCCCCTACTACGTGTCCCTGGTGGTGTCCGGCGAGCCCCAGGAGGATGGCGAGAGGCCAGGCGGGAGCTCTTACCTGGAGAAGGTGGGGCTGGCGCTGCGCGTGCTGCGGGCCCTGCGCATCCTCTATGTGATGCGCCTGGCGCGCCACTCGCTGGGGCTGCAGACTCTGGGCCTCACGGTGCGCCGCTGCACGCGCGAGTTCGGCCTGCTGCTCCTCTTCCTCTGCGTGGCCGTTACCCTCTTCTCCCCTCTGGTCTACGTGGCTGAGAAGGAGTCCGGGCGGGTCCTGGAGTTCACTAGCATCCCGGCCTCCTACTGGTGGGCCGTCATCTCCATGACGACGGTGGGCTACGGGGACATGGTGCCGCGCAGCGTGCCTGGCCAGGTGGTGGCCCTCAGCAGCATCCTGAGCGGGATCCTCATCATGGCCTTCCCAGCCACGTCCATCTTCCACACCTTCTCGCACTCCTACCTGGAGCTCAAGAAGGAACAGGACCAGGTGCAGGCTCGCCTGTGCCGCCTGCGACACGCGGCCATCGCCAAAGAACACGGCCTCCTGAATGATGCTGACAACCTGGTCCCGGAGAGATCCGGCTCGCCCACCAAATACGTTTATCTCAAGACCCCTCCTGAATACAGGGAAACCCCCCACCGCGCTTGGCTGGCAGGCTCAAGAGCACCAGGGCACAGACGGTGTGGTGGTGGTTTCTAGAGCTCAGGGAGTTTTCCTGACGGAGGAGGGGCTCAAGGCCAAAGGTACATGTTCTTTGTGATTCTTGACACGGTGGCCACGCCAGCCCCAGCTGACCTTGTCTGTGTCACCTGCCTTCCCTCCCTCCCCACCCGTTGCTGAGCCCGTGTGACTTCGCTGGGTCAGAGCAGCCTCCCTGCACCCTCGCCTGCTTTCCTGAAGAATCTCCAGCATCCCACAGAATTCCGCTCCTCCCCTAAGACCCTGTTTCCTGGGCCACCCACTACCAGGAACTGGAGGATCCAGGCACTTAAAACCCTTCTGACCGGATCTCCCACCCAGCCCCACCAGGGGATCCGGGAGGGGTCCTCTCTCTCTGCTCACTCTTACCAATGGCATTTTCCTAACCCAGCTGCCTGCCCCCAGCCCTGGGAGCTCTTAAGCCGAGAAGGCAGAACTAGCCTGTGCATTAAATCCTGCAGTGGGGCTGGTGGCCTGCCATCCCCCTGACATCCCTGGGCCCCGGGCAGGAGCCCCACCTGCCAGCGCAGCAGGCCGTCCTTGGCCAATGGATCTTGCTGGAACATTCTCCAATTGTCCAGTTCTTGGAAGTGACAGAGGCTAATCTTGCAGGCACTGCGTTGTCCCTTGAGAGGACCATTCCTGCTGCTGGTTCCTCCAGCCCTGTGGAGACCTCAGCTTCCCACCTCAGCTGCACCACCCCGGCCACAGTGTAGCTTCAGTGCAGAAATGAGGGCAGCCTTAGGCTCTGCCCTTTGCCGGTGCCCCAGCTTAGGCCCTTGATGCCAGAGCATAAGTCCTCAGCTTAGGTTTAGATGTATTTATGTCCTTATCCATTCATTCACTAATGATTCAGCCCTTTGCATCCAACAGAGGCTGAGGATGTAGGACCAGGTCACCTGAGGTAAAGGCAGGGTGTGCTGAGGCCAGGGGGGAAAGGGCAATGAACCTCGAGCAACTGCCACCAGGGAGCTCCACGGAGACGGTGCAGGGCTGGAATGCTGACGGAAGTGGGGCCCCGAACCTGAAGGGGGTCAGGCTGAGAGGGCGGTGGGCTGAGGAGTTCTGCAGAGGATTTGGACTCTGACAGGTGGAAGGTAACCGTTGGAGACACCAGAGGAAGGCGCGGCATGACCAGGCAGCTGATGTGGACAATGTGCCTGGACGAGACTCCACAGGACTGTGTGCAAGGAGAGTAGCCGCTCTGCAAGCTGTGAGGGCCCAGCAGCTGTCCGAGGCAGGGCCACATCCTGCTGTTTTGCCTTTTTTTCTTAGGCGCCAGGCAGAGCACACCTGAGAGAGGTCTCGATGGCACCTCCCATGCGTGACATGGACACAAGCAGCAGTTCCTCGCCTTCGGCTGTAAATCCCTGGGGAGAGTGCACGGGGATACAAATGGGTGATGGGGAGGGGAACGGGAGCCACGGATCTGGTGTAGTATATGCGAAAGGGCATCTGTGTTTCATCACCGCTCATTCAATCCTCTAGTATTTATCACAGGCCTACTATGCGCCAGGCACATGCCCTCCCCTGACTGTCGCTCCAGGAATCAGCGTGGCCGCCAGCTCTGGCCCAGCGGAGCCCCCCACACCAGCCTCTGGCTTCAAGTTGGCTTTGCCTCGTGGGGAGCCCCCGCTTCTCTTTGACTCCTCTGGCTGCCCTCCCAGCTGACCAGGGTCCATGTACCCATCCCTCTAGACCCCAAAAATCAGAGGAGCACTTCCCCCGAGTCCTTCTCACACTGACATTTCACCCAGTCGGCTCTTTGCAGAGTGGCACAGCGGCCAGGCACACAAGGAAAGCCCCTCTTCCTGTAAGAACCCCGGGACTGCTCCGTGTCCCCCGTGACTAGCAGAGGCTCAGGAGCACTGGGGGCCCATGACTTGGGTGCTGCCTCAGGCCCGGATTTTCAATCCCTGTGTGACCTTGGCCCTTGCACTCTGTCAACTGTGGGCTTTGGCTAGATCTGTGCTTTCTGTTTAGGGGTTCCACGAAGACCCTCAGGACCGCTATGTGGGTAGAGGGCTCAACATCCAGATGTGTAACGCTTGCAAATAACTCTTTTTAAAAGAATATGTAAATTTCCAGACACTCTCCCCACCTCCAGTCAGTGCCCACCTGAGGCCCATTGCACTGAGGTGGTGAACTCACCCTCGGAACCAGGGAAGAGACCTCAGCAACCAGCAGAGGGCCTGGCACCCACGTGGGACCTCACAGCCAGCCCTCCCTCTGCTGGCTGGAGGGCTCCGTGCCGCGCACCTGGGGGCACTAATTCCCCCCTCCAGCTCTGCCCATCCTGTGGCTGCCTTCCACTCAGGCATCTCCATTTTCCTGATTCACACACCAGGCGTCTGGACAAAAATGGGCCAGAACTCAAAGGAAACTAGGTGAGCCCACCACCACCATCACGAGATTCTATAGTGTCTTAACGCCCAGTGGAAACCCTCTGCCAAATTAGAAGTGGAAAATTGGAATTGTTTGTGCATTATGTGGGGCTTAATTAAACGCTGTATTTTTTCTCCCCAGGCATAGCCTGGCAGAGCAGCCCTTTCTCCATGCTGATTGGATGGAGGTAACGTTGCTAGGAGATCTCTTCATCCCCATTGGCTGAGAGGAGTCTTGCCATTCCCAGAAAGGCTTTTTTTCCCTGCGGCCAGTGGACATGACCGCAGCCAAAGGTAGACATTTCCAGCTGAAGGCAAAGAGCAAACAGCCTTTAACCTCAAGCATTTTCGTGCTGTGTCACAGATCCCACAGGTAACTTCAGCCCACCCCAGATGCAAGTCTAAGCAGGGAGTTTCCATGAGGGGTTCTGTGAACCTCTAGAGATTATGCGCATCTCAAGTGCACAGCTTTGAACAATTTAATCAGATCTTCAGAGGAATCCATGAGCCCTCAAAAAGGATAAGAAATTTTCAAGCAAATCAAATCCTGCATTTTAAGATGGAGAGCCCAAGGCTCAGAGAGGGAAAGCCACCTGCCCAAGGCCACACAGCCATTTGGTTTTGTTAGATCTGAGTATCCTGATTCTAGCAGAAAACTCTTCCTAGTTTCATGCCGCAGCTCTTAGACTCATCTGAAACAGTGCTCAAACCTTTGAAGAAAATATTCAAGGCAAGATTGTAATGCTTGGCCATGTCCTCCCAAGCAGAGTAAGCAGGCTGTCTTGAGGTACCTCGGGCACCAGCACTCACCCTCCCCTGGTAGAGCAGTGGATGTGAAAATTGACTTTGCTGGCCCTTCCTTTTTTCATTGATCCCGCGGACAGGTTGGACTATGTGGGTGTTAAGGTCCCTCTGTGCTTCACAGTCTGTGATTTTGGGAAGAAGAGCTCATTTCAGCAATGTAGAAGAGCAGGTAAGAAACAAGAAGAGAGAAGGGAGATAAACAAACCATGGTCCCTGACTAGCCACAGGATTGCTGCCTTAGCAAAGATCGGCAGGTAGTTCCAGTTTGATAGAAGTTCACTAAGATTTCTGTCTAGCAGCTACTGGATACATTCCTACCCATCCCACCTGGGGTCCTCACCTCCACCCTGCAGCCTTGCACCCCCTGTGTCTGGCTGCATGCCTTTCTTCGGTGGCATTAAACTGCCCCCTGCTTTTCCTCATATTGATATGCTAATGATAGGCATCACTTATTGAATGATCACTAGTCACCAGGCAATTGATTTTTGAACATTTTATTTGCAAAAATGTCAAACTCACACACAAAAATTGCAAGAACAAAACTTGTATATAGAATACCTGAATACATCTCTTATTTTTAAACATTTTGTCCCAGTTGCTTTATCATTTGCTCTGTTTTTTGTATTATTTATACATAGTGTGTCTTCCTGGACCTTTGAGAGCAGCTGGCTATATCATGGCCCTTTGCTCGCAGAACTTTAGACTGTGGGAACTGGAAGGCCCCCCAGAAGACTGTCAGTCCCAGAATCCTTTGTGAGAGTTTCCACAAGGGCTCTGTGAACCTCTGGGGATAACGAGCAGCAGCGCGTGTGTGTGTCATGTGCAGTGCAAACTGTTCAGTGATTTCATCCGATGCTCAAAGGACTCCATGACCCCCCCACAGAAATAAAAGGATAGGAAGCTCTGAGGTCTACCAACTCCTTTACTGTAGATGAAGAGCCGAGGAGACCCCAAATACTTTGGTATTCTAGATCCTAAGAATGAGGAGATTCTCTCACAGAACCACAGTACAGTTATCAATGCCAGCACCTGTGGCTTTGATGCAATATTTTAATATAATCTATTGTCTGTTCCAAGTTTGTCCATTGACCTAATAATATCCTTTACAGCCTTTCCCCTCCAGGGCAGGTCCAGCCCAGGATGGGGTATTGCATTTATGCATCCTATCTCTTTAGCCCCTGTAATCTGGCCCATTGCCACAGCCTCTTTTCAATGTAGTGACATTGAAATTTTGGGTGACTATAGTCCTGCCTTTTGAGTAGAATGTGCTTCATCTTGTGTCTCCTTGTGTTTAAACTGAAACTGTGCATTCCCTGCCAGAGACTGCATCATGAGGTTGTGTCCATCTAGGGATGTCACAATTGGGAGTGCCATGGCCCTCACTGGTGACACACAAACCCCTTGTTTGGGAGGTGACTTCAGGAAAGGCTGGCAGAGTTGTGGAGAATGAAAATGGGAAGGTGAGCTAACAAGTGCCAGCCTGGACATTAGCCCAATCTGATCCACGTAGACCAGAAAGAATGTGCCAGAGGGTGGGCATGCACAGGCCACCCCAGGTGGCCTCTGTAGGGAGGAGGTGTGTCCCCTTAAGGAAGAACTAGTCTCCAAGGCTCAGTGCAAATTTCCAGCTCCAGGCGATTTCCATCTTCTCTGCTGCTAGGGGGCTGGCCCACAGATTCTTAGAGCCACAGGACTTCTATGGTCAGTGGGTGCAACCTGCCCACTTTACAAGTGTGGATGTGAAGGCTCACAGAGGTGATGTAATGTGGCCAGTCACACAGCCCTAGAGGTGACAAAGCCAGCCCAGCCAAGTGCTTCAGCTCCGTGCCGCTGATCCCTGCCCCGGTCTGCCTCACCCAGCATCTGACAGCTAACCAGGGGCACCTCCAGAAACACAATGTCAGTTAAAAATAAAACAAAACAAAG